AACAGAAAATGTATTCTTAAATAATAAAGAATAATAATAACAATAATGTAAATAATAGAAACATCAATGGAGATAATATTAATAACAAATCTAATAAACATACAAACAAAAAATATAGAAATTTAATAAATTAAAAATGTCATTAATCAATGTCAGATAGTATCAAACGCCAGGACATATAACTTATCGCACTTTATGAATAAAAATTATATTGCCATAGCCCTTATTAACGAAACCAAGTTAAAAAAAGAAACTTAAGACGTTTTTGGTGCCTAACACTAAAAATGTCTCAAAATAAGACGCCTCTTTTTGCAGTAAATTTATCCAACCTAATTGCCAAGTAAATATTAAAACATTAGAAGTTTTAATAATAATCAACTCATCATTATCAAATAATGTTATTTATTTAATCAAAGTTATTTATTAAAAGTGCATATGGGGCATTCCAGGCCAAATCGGAAATTATTTTGCTTTTGCATCTCAAATTTCTTTTAAACATTTTTTTTCTTTTAGTACTCTTTGAAATGAGCTAGCTTGATTTTTTTTAAATTTTTTCATAAAGCGGTTCAGGAGATACAGATTTTTGGAAAATGACGTTTTTTACGTAAACTTTTGTTTTAAATGCTTATAACTCGGTCAAAAATTGATCAAATTGGACGTTATTATAATTAAAAGTTTTGTTTTCACGCGTAGTTTTTAATAAAAATATTTTTTAAAAAATTTAAAGTAATTTACGATAAGATTTTAAAATTTTTTAAATAAAATTTCATTTTTAAAAATGTATGTATCGATCAATTTTTTTCAAAATTTTTTGTAAGAAACTAGCACTAAATTAACAATTTTTAAGCCTTGTCCGCTCGTGGGTAAACGATGGGTTTTATTTTTTTTTAATTTTTTAATTAGGGGAGAGTAGTCAAGGTTGGATCAGGTTCAGATTGTTTTCTATAACTTCTCCTGTCTACCGAATTTGACGATTTCCTCTTATATTATTGGAAAGTTCTACTAAAATGCAATGTTTTTGCTAAACATTGTAAAAAAGTTGGTGTCGCTATGTGATAAAACGAAATAAGCGCCATTATCCAACCTTGACCACCTATCCAACCTTGACCACTCTCCCCTATTATATACGCAGTGGTGGCCAATGACTAACTTGCCATTTGAGAAAATCACACAAATTTTTCACAGCAAATGTGTTTTCAGACTGAGTATCTCCAAACTTAACCTTCTTTCTGTGTAAAATTGTGATTTGGTCAAATGACAAGTTAGGCCTACCGTTTTCACTGTGTACCTATATAAAAATAAAAAATTTGTAAATAAATAGATCCCATCGTTTGCCCACGATCAGACAAGGCTTAAAAATTGTTAATTTAGTGCTTTTTTATAAAAGAAAAAAAATGTTTAAAAAAAATTTGAGATGCAAAAGCAAAATAATTTCCGATTTGGCCTGGAATGCCCCATATGCACCAGGTAATATTAGAGCAAATTTTACGAATGATCTAAACGAGTTATTTTATTAATGAAAATTACAAAACCCCGCAAATCTCTACCAACATGGCTAGGGATCTAAAAGCCAAACGTACGGAATGGCACGATAACATAACAAATAATTGAGGTAGATGTTTATATAATTGGCTGCAAGGTAAACAAATTGAATTCAGGACAACACTGGAAGGCTCGCTTCACCCCACATACCTATTTGCCAATTCATACTTAGACTTGATTATTGTGATGCAGGCGTCGAGGTCATCAACAATATTAATAATAAAATACCAGTACTACCCTTTGACAGCGACCATAATGCGTTATACGCATAAATAAAAATAAAAAATTCAGAAACGCTCTTTAAGATGGTGAAAACCAAAAAGTCATAAGTTGATTAGAAGTTTTAAAAATTTTTTTTAAAGTCAAAAGAAACAAGAGTAAAAATACGAAAAAACTGATTTTTTTGTTATTATACAAATTAAAGTAATGAAGACGATAATTTTTTATTATTTAGAAAAGTTGACAGTTTCTTTGACAACTGTCAACAGTTAAAATTCAAATTTGATATCATATTCGTAATCGGCGACCTCAAAAACCTTATTAGTTTTTTTTTAAAACGATCTCTTTTTACAGAAGTTGACAGCTGTCAAATTGTCAATTTAACATCATATTCGTAATCAGCGGCCTCGAAAACTCTTACAAACATGTGTCACTTAGTTATACTAATTGTTGCTATTTAGAAAACTTAGATTATTTTTTTTGTGTTTGGGGAGTTTGTTATTAATTTATATAAACAATTATTAAGAAATTTTTTTTATTACTTGTATGTTTTTTATTTTGTTACTGTGGTCCACGGTGAAGAAAATAAGCCTAACTTGTTTAAAAAATATTCATATTTAAAAAAGTTACAAGGGTTTTTCTAAGTTAAACATTAAATGCTGTTTTCTCGAAAACTTGTTTTCGCACGTAAGGTCCCTTTTAATAGTCCAGGTGTTATGGTTTTTTCTGTTAGGGAGAGTCCAATTCTGGATGCTCTCGTTGTTTCTCGTTATTCTTCGCCTTTTTGGCCTCTTGTTCATTATGTCTGGGATTGGTCGATCGCTCTCGTGACGTGTCAAAGGTTCCGCCCAGATCCTGTCCCCCTCTTTTTCCGATGTCGGTGCCAAACTGCTCAGTTACTTTTCTCTCGTCTTGCTGAGTGGAGCTGAGAGTCACCTGTGCTGACGTGAGCGTCACCTGCCGCCATTTTTGCCACGTGGGAACCTCTAGTCTCAACGACGCCATTCGCCACGTGCAACATACTATTCAATTTTCAACTCTTTTTTTGTAAGTTCTTACGCTGTTAAATTCTACGTTTGTGAAAACCAAAAGGTTAAAAGGAAATATACATTTTTTAATTAATCGACGAATCCGTTTATTGTCGACCCTTCTCTATTCGCAATCCAAGATCCCACCCTTTTTTTATTTTTCTATTTTTTTCGCAACATATTTTTTGGTCCTTCGAGCCGGATAATAGAAGGGGTCGACCGTTTTCGGGTTCTTTTTTTTTCTCTCTTTTTTTTATCGCTGCCACAGACGCAGCCGCCTCAGAGAAGGCATTTTGGATGAATTCGCTGCCACTGGCGCAGCCGCCTCAGGGCAGGCATTTTGGTTGAAATCGCTGCCACTGACGCAGCCGCCTCAGGGCAGGCATTTCGGTTAGAATCGCTGCCACTGACGCAGCCGCCTCAGGGCAGGCATTTCGGTTAAAATCGCTGCCACTGACGCAGCCGCCTCCGGGCAGGCAGTTTGGTTGAAATCGCTGCCACTGACGCAGCCGCCTCAGAGAAGGCATTTTGTTTTCTTTTCTCATTTCTTTGACATCGCTGTCACAGACGCAGCCGTCTTAGGGCAGGCACATGTTTTTTTTTCTTTTTTTTTTTTTGAACAAAGTGTTGATAGTTTCTGATTGCGAGCGATGAGGGCAAAAGTAAAAAAAGGGTACCTTACTCGCTCGCTTACGGAGACCCAAACACTGTAGCTCATGATAGCGAGTGCCGAGGGCAAAAGTAAAAAAGGGTACCTTACTCGCTCGCTTTCAGAGACCCAAACACCTTATAAAAAAATGAATAAACAAGCCATACAGAAGCGCTGAAAACGCTGCATAGTTCTGTGACATGCAAAAAACGTCTTTCCTGTCTAACGGTTAACTTTATTTAGTAATTTTTTTTCTCAGCAACCCTTTTCGACGCCGCGATGCGTACTCTATTAGCTACCCAGGGTTCGCTCATCACGTTGATTAACAGTTGCGTAGCCCGATGCCTAGACGAGGGTGTCGAGCAGATCACCGCGGGCGCTGTCCAGAGCCGCATTGAGCTACTCCAGGGCTATTGGGAACGTGCGCAGCGCAACCATATGAAACTGGTCACTAAGGAAGGCATCGCCGAGGAAGCGTATCTTACTGAAGGCATGTTTGACACTGTCGCATTGACCGTCACCGAAACATTAGGCCGTCTATATGATCGCCAACTTCATTTAAACACAATAGCATCAGTTGGGGAGCACCAGTCTTCACCTGCTACCGGTCTTTCCCACCGTCAGCTGCCGCGAATTAACTTGCCAACTTTTTCCGGAAAACGTGAGGATTGGGAACCATTCCGGGATCTTTTTCTCGCTCTTGTCCATGCTGATGAGCACCTTACAGATGTTCAAAAGTTGTTCTACCTAAAGGGAGCAGTACAGGGCGACGCGCGACGCGCTTTAGACGGACTTTCCGTTACCGACGCGAATTATTCTACAGCCTGGAGTCTATTATTGGCTCGTTTCGATAACAAACGCCTCTTGGTGCAGGATCATTTGTCAGCCTTACTGGCAATCAAACCAGCAAAAGCAGAAAGTGGCTCAAACCTCCAAGAGCTGCTGGACACTCTAGTACGAAAGCGAGACTCACTCAGAACTCTCGGCCGTCCTGTCGACCAATGGGACGATTGGTTCACGTTCATCGCAGCCTACGGCATGGACATGACGACTCGTAAGCACTGGGAGAATGAAATACGGGAAGCTGATCGAATTCCAGATTTCATCCGTGTTGAAACTTTTCTCCAAGGACGAATCCGAGTACTTCACGCGACTGAACTTCCTCGAGCTTCAGATTCCACGCTGATTAAGAGTAAGTCAAACTCAACGACGGCTTCTCAGGGACGACCGCGAGTAATGACCTTGTCTTCTGGTCAAGAGAACTGTACCGTCTGTGGTAATAATCACCTCGTTGGCAGCTGTTCAGAATTTAAAAGTCTCGATGTTTCAAAACGTCGAAAAACGGTTACAGAATTACGACTCTGCTTCAACTGCCTTCGAACAGGACACCAAGCTCAAAATTGTCGCTCTGTAAATCGATGTCGTCATTGCAAAGGATTGCATCACACTCTGATCCACGGCGCATCTGACCGTAAACGTCCTAACTCTGAGAGTGCTGGTGGACCATCCGAAAAACAATCTCGAACCAAAATGCAGAGTGATCAAAATAAACCCTCTGACTCATGACTACCATTGCTGGCTACCGCTGTTGTAAAACTGGAGACAACCGAAGGGGCAGTGGTCACAGCGAGAGCTCTTTTTGATCCAGGCTCCGAAGCAACATTAGTCTCATCAAAATTGGTAAGCTCTCTAAAGGTAATTCCAGAGAGGGTGAGAATTCCTATCCACGCTATAGGTAATACCCAAGTCGAAACAGCTCGCCGTAGCGTGACTCTTCGCATACGACACCAAGAATCACCACCAGCGACTCTTGTATTTGCCTTAGTTATCCGAAATCTATCTTTAAAGATTCCTTCATCCCCGGTTTCAAAACAAACGTGGCCTCACTTAAACGGTCTCAGTCTAGCAGATCCAGACTTTAGAGTACCTCGAGAGATCGATATAATTTTGGGTGCCGATATCTACGGCTCGTTAATTCGAGACGGAGTTCGTCGTGGACGTCAAAATGAACCAATTGCTCAACGAACCGTCTTTGGTTGGACAATCCTTGGACCACACTGGTCAGCAGAAGTTCCGAACCATGTCGCTTCACCTAATGTCACTGCAATGCGCGTCAAATCTCACGACGACCTTGTCGAGTTGCTGGAACGATTTTGGGTTCAGGAAGAGATCGCAGACCCAGTAATCCCGGAGAACGATTATGAGTGTGAACGATTGTTTCAAACTGAGCATTGCCGTGACGTCGGTGGAAGATATACTGTAAGGCTTCCTCGTCGTTCGACACTCAATTTTTCAATGGGAGAATCGCTAACTACTGCCAAGCGTGTACTTTCTTCCATGTTACTTCGCATGAAAAAAGAACCTCGTCTGTCGACGGAGTACACACAGTTTATGACGGAGTATGAACGACTTGGTCATATGAGACCCATTAGCGATGATGTTGCGATGAGGAGCGAAGCACCTGTCTATTATATCCCGCATCACGCAATTTGGCAAAGTGCTGATGGACGTCCTAAGATAAGGGTGGTCTTTAATGCTTCAAAACCCACATCTCACGGAACCTGCACTAATACCTTGCTACACTCAGGACCGAAATTGCAAAACGAACTAACAACCGTCTTAATGCGATGGCGATTCTTCCGCATTGTCTTTTGCGCCGACATCGAAATGATGTATCGCCAGGTACGGGTACATGAGGCGGACGTTGACCTTCAGCGGATAGTATGGAAACGTCCAGGCGAACAGAAGCTCACACACTTTCAATTGCTCACCCTTACCTATGGTGTTACTTGCTCTCCCTATTTGGCAATCCGAGTGTTGCACCAATTAGCAGATGACGCAGGAGATCGTTTTCCGGTGGCAGTCAAGATCATACGAGACAACACTTACGTTGACGATTTTCTAGCAGGAGCTGACAGCGAAGAAGAAGCGCTGGAGTGTCGTGATCAACTGATTGCGATAATGAACTCTGGAGGATTTCACTTAAAGAAATGGATATCGAACTCTCCGTCCCTCCTAGATACGATTCCCAGTAGTCACCGATTACGTCCCAGCTGGCGCCAAATCGAGATAGACGGACCCGTTGGAGCGTTGGGAATTTCATGGGATCCGATCAGCGATGAATTTCGTTTCAAACCCCTCGACATTACGCGTACTGATACACCGACTAAGAGAAGCATCCTTGCAACAGTGGCTCGTTTATTTGATCCTGTCGGATGGCTGGCTCCTATAATTATTGTCGCGAAGGTCCTAATGCAAGACTTGTGGCGAAACCAACTTGACTGGGACGATCACCTGCCGGCAACACTAACCCAAAGATGGCTTGCCTTTATCGATCACTTGCCACTTCTCTCAATGATACGATGTCCACGCTGGATCGGGACTCAACCTGATGATTTAATTGAACTCCATGGCTTTGGCGATGCAAGCGCCATTGCGTATGCTGCAGTGGTGTTCTTGCGGATTCGAAAATCAAATGGAACATTTCTATCCAGAATCGTTGCCTCAAAAACACGAGTAGCACCAGTAAAAACTATCTCTATCCCACGTTTGGAGTTGTGTGCTGCCGTGCTGGTAATCGAGCTTCTTACGCGCGTTATTACTGAACTAAGGTTGTCCGACTCTTCTATTTACGCCTGGTCCGACTCACAAATCGTGCTTCATTGGCTTAGGTCTTCTGATCCATCCCGGTGGCCAGTTTACATTGCCAATCGAGTTTCAAAAATCCAACGATCTCTACCATCGGTTTTGTGGCACTACATCCCAACGAAGGAAAACCCTGCCGACATTGCGACTCGTGGTACCGACCCGGGAACGCTTTCTGCAATGAGGTTGTGGTGGCACGGTCCTTCGTGTCTAGAGCAGGAAGATAGTGGATGGCCGCTCAATCCACCATTCGAAGAACCATCCTTTTCTCAGTCACAGACAAGCGAACTACCATCAACAGTGCTCATTGGTCATCTCAAAACTGTTAATGAACCGTTCTCACAGTTTTCCACTCTGATGAAACTTCTTCGTTGCACCGCATGGTGCATGCGAATAAAACAGATCTTGCTACCCAAAGAGGATCGATCTCTCTTAATGAAAAACGGATTGCAAGCAACTGAATTGCAACAAGCCTTTCTTGGTTGCGTTTATTGGACTCAGCACCTTTACCTTGGCGACACTCTTCGAATATTGGAACACGGTAAGGAATTACCACGAAGACATTCACTTGCCAGTCTTCATCCATTCATTGATGCGAAAGGAATTTTGAGAGTCGACGGGCGATTGGAAAATTCTCCACTGCCATATGATCAAAAGAACCCTGTCATTTTGCCAGGACAAAGTCATCTTGCTGAACTCATTATTGACTGGGCACACAAAAAATCGCTCCACGGCGGATCTCAACTGACATATTCTTACGCCATTCGACGAGCCTGGATCATTAAAGGGCGTGTTCGAGTCAAAGCGCATGTTCGGCGGTGCATCACATGTGCTCGTACAAAGATCCAGAGGGCTAGCCAGTTGATGGGACAACTTCCAGCTGAGCGAGTGACTCCCTCACGGCCCTTTGAACGATGTGGAGTCGACTATGCAGGGCCATTCTTATTGAAGACTACGAAGGGTCGCGGATACCGTGCGACTAAAGGTTATATCGCTCTGTTCGTCTGTCTGAGCGTGAAGGCAGTACACCTTGAAGTCGTTGGTGATCTTACGTCAGATTCCTTTCTAGCTGCTCTGCGTCGTCTCATCGGTCGGCGCGGCGCACCGTCCGAAATTTGGAGCGACAACGCAACAACTTTTCATGGCGCTGAGGCGGAGCTCCGATTGATGCTTCGAAAGGCTGAATTTGATTGGGGTATGATCCATGACTCACTAGCCAACCAGGGTGTGACCTGGAAATTCATTCCCCCAGGTGCTCCACACTTTGGAGGATTGTGGGAGGCTGGAATAAAAACTGCCAAGTCTCACATGCGTCGAATCATTGGAACGCGAACGCTGACATACGAAGAGATGTCCACATTGGTTGTGCAAATTGAGGGTTGCATGAACTCGCGTCCATTGGTACCAGTTGTTGGAGATCTTGAGGACCTGGATGTTTTGACACCCGGGCACATATTGACAGGCGGACCATTATCACAACTTCCTGAATCATTAGACTTAAACCCTTGCTCGCAAAACGATAAGCATTGGCATTTGGTGAAAAAAATGAGGGATCTCTTTTGGACGCGCTGGTCTCGAGATTATCTTCATACACTCCAGCAGCGCAATAAATGGACCAGAACCCAAGCCAACATCCGACCAAACGACATCGTGTTGGTGATTGATCCTTCCTTAATGCGAGCAAATAAATGGCCTCTAGGACGAGTCCAAGAAGTTTTTCCAGGACCAGATGGACTTGTACGCACTGTACGATTACGTACAGCTTTTGGGACTTATGAAAGACCGATTCACAAAATCTCCCCCTTGCCGATATTAGTTCAGGAACAACAGTAAATCTCTGATCAAAACGATGGATTACGGCGGGCGGAGAGTTGAGCTGCTCAACCAAATTTTCTAACAATTTTCTTCATTCTTCTTTTCTCGTCCGACTCTTTTAGAACCCTTTTTTTCGTTAAATTAACGAGGCGGGCGGGATGTTATGGTTTTTTCTGTTAGGGAGAGTCCAATTCTGGATGCTCTCGTTGTTTCTCGTTATTCTTCGCCTTTTTGGCCTCTTGTTCATTATGTCTGGGATTGGTCGATCGCTCTCGTGACGTGTCAAAGGTTCCGCCCAGATCCTGTCCCCCTCTTTTTCCGATGTCGGTGCCAAACTGCTCAGTTACTTTTCTCTCGTCTTGCTGAGTGGAGCTGAGAGTCACCTGTGCTGACGTGAGCGTCACCTGCCGCCATTTTTGCCACGTGGGAACCTCTAGTCTCAACGACGCCATTCGCCACGTGCAACATACTATTTAATTTTCAACTCTTTTTTTGTAAGTTCTTACGCTGTTAAATTCTACGTTTGTGAAAACCAAAAGGTTAAAAGGAAATATACATTTTTTAATTAATCGACGAATCCGTTTATTGTCGACCCTTCTCTATTCGCAATCCAAGATCCCACCCTTTTTTTATTTTTCTATTTTTTTCGCAACACCAGGTCACATATAAATATACACTAGTGGGCACAAACATCCGTGGGATATTCTTTTCATAACGTTTTTATTACATTGTAAAAAATTTAAGACAATGTCTTAAAAAAGATATACTGATGATGTCTTGAAGGCAGACTTAAAGGCATCTTAATCAAATTTTATGTCTGGCCTAAAGACGTCCAAATGTGTCATATGGATATTTTCAGGAAGTATTTGGGACATTTTCAGGACACATTGAGGACAATTTTAGGACAAACTCAAGATACACTTAGAACATTCTTAGGGCATGTTTGTGACATTCTCAGGAAACGTTGAGAACATTTTTGGGACATATATGAGATATTCTCTTGAGATGTTTGATTTATATGTATTGAAATTTTTTTTAACGAAATACAGTGTTTTTTCATACGGTTTATTTAAGGAAATTAAAAAAGAAAAAGTTGCTAACAATTTTCAGGATTTAAGGTACGCATGAATTTATATGGTTTTATACGTAGACAAACATTTTAAATTTCCTACTCAAAATCATGTCTTAATTTCCCATACGGTTTTACATGGAAAATGTAGTTTTACTTACTACATCCTAAGAAAAAACATCAAAATTTATCCAAGACGTATCCACGTTAAACTCCGTGTAGAGATTGCAGACTCCAATGCAATAAACCAATTAGTAATAAACAACGTTTACTTATATTAATAAAAACTTTTGGCTACTGTTAACTGAGGCTATTAAGAACAGATTTCTACTTTAAAGGCTTGTAACTTTTTTGTGTATTGAAATATTGCCTTAATTTTTTTCTTTTTTTGATCTTGGCAAGAACATTGAAGGGTTAAAGAATTGTTTTGATCAAAGCTGGAATTTGAAGTAAAACAAAGAAAAAGACGCATTTTTTCAAAATTACAAAATGGGGCTATTACGAACAAGGCGGTAGAAACCATTGGAAAAAGTATTTCAAGTTAAAGAAGTTATTGTTTATTGCTCCCATAAGAAATCCCTTTAATAAAAAATAATCACTTTGAGAAGTTAAAGCAGGAGCAACTTACCTCGGAGTTTAATGTTTTGGAAATTCCCTATGAGCATAGCCAATCAAAACTCTGGGCGTTTCTGAATATACTCAGAACGAAGGAGGTATACAAGCGCCTTAATAGCCCCAGTTTACAAAAAACATGGATAGATAAAAAAGCATATTTCACTAGACACATCAGTCGTAAAAAAAGCAGTAGACGAATTGCAGTGGTCTAACGAATCAAAACGGCACAAAGCTTCTAATTTTTAGGACACTTTTCCTAACAACTTTAGGATTCAAATCAAATAATACAAAAGCATTAAGACATGCTTTAGAAGATTTGCATCCCTTTACACTGGAACCAGCACCCGAAGTTGGAAGAACTACAAGAAATAGAACTGATATTATAGATAAAGAGAAGAGACAATTCGTGAACATATTGAATCTTATCAACCACATATTTCCCATTATCGTCGAAAACATGCGCCCAATTGCCGATACCTACCTCATAAAATCACTATAAAACAAATAGTTGACAGTTTTAAATAAAAATATCCACAGTATTCTACACTTATAACATACGACGTATTCATAGATCTGTCCTGAAAGGTATAAAAATATCTTCTACTAAATTAGGCCATAAAGAGTGTGCAAAGTATGAAATTTTGGACCAACGCAATCCTTCACACAATACGGATAATCTATCATCTGAATGTGATATATCAGGTGCGTATCCAGGGGGGGTGGGGGGTTCAACCCCCCCTGAAATTTTGGAAAAACATATGTTAAAGCCTAAATTTCTAATTTTATTCTGAGTACACCTCTTATCAAATTCCATAACACCCCCCGAAACTTTTTTTTGGCTACGCCCCTGTGATATATGTATCAGTTAATCAAAACACAAAAAAATGTCGACAGAAGCTCGAATATTATATATCAAAAGCACTGTGAAGAATCTATTTCGAATACTAAAACGGCAATTTATTCGGCTGACCTTCAAAAAGAAATTCCGATTTTGTCAGTTATAAAATCAATGACTTCTGACGATTTTTCTATATGGAAAGATTTCACATCGCAACAAAAATTTAACAAAATGATTATTCGAAAAGGTTGAATGAAATAAAACATATTAAGGGGTTACCCCCACTTGTAGCGCAAAAAAATAAGCCTTTTTTATGAATTTTTTTAAAGAAAACTACAAAACTTTTTTAATCTATAACTATATCATCTCAAAGAACACATATTGAGGAACTTTTAGTAATTTTTTTATTAAAAAATATTACATCGTTAAGTGTCAAACTGCCGTCAATGAAATAATGTTTTTATTTATACGGTTTGCGGTGACCAAGATTGCGGCAAAGTGAATCATCTAAAACAAAAAATGTGGATAAATTTAGTCAAATATGAGTATAAACTAGTCTTTAATCGAAGGATTTAAAAAAATATTCATTTTTCACAAAATGGCTGACAGTCTAATTTAGAAGTTCGATTTTAACGAAAAAAACGGCCGTTTTTTGGCTATAAAACGGCCATTTTTTTTCGAAAAAGAAAATCGAACGATTAAAGACTACATTTTTATGTAATAAATAAGCCTGCAAAATTTCAAGAAGATCGGTTCATTAGTGTTTGAGTAATTTTGGTCACCGACTTCAGAAATACCATTTCGAGAAAAACGCGTTTAAAGTTTCAATTTCAGTTTCCACGAAGAAAATAATTTTTTTGAAAACTTACATAGAGTCATCTATTCCGGGTCCATATAGAAGTTCTTCCGCCGACGATACTGCTTGCAAAATGGAAATTTGGTGTTGCCTTCGTAACATTCTTCCTTCACGAGTGCTCTCGGCCGCACGTCTCTCTGCCAGTGCAATTCGTGCTTCGTCGATTTTTTCAGCGTATTCGTGTGCGTTGTGTCCACAGCTCACCTCGATTGAGTTCAAATAAAATAATAATGATTTTGAACCTTCGTTGAATAGTCCAGCGGCAATATAAGCTGCTAAATTTACAACGATTGCTCCACTCGAGACGATTTTTGAGCTGATTTTCCAAATAACTTGATTGAAGCTTTCGTTATTATTTTGATTGAAGCCACCGACGCATCTTTCAAGTAAAGTTTCTTTACTCAGATCCTTATATATAGGTCTGATGGCATTCAGTACATTTGACGGAAGTGGTCTGTAATCGTGTTGGAAAGCCTCGTTTCTCGCCTGAACTCGTTGATATGAACACCATGATTCTTCACCGGTTGGACATCTCTCGTGGTGTGGATTTGCATCAGTTGAACTGTAATGGTCGAAGGTCGCCCATATTGCCTCATGCATATCGTGAACAGAATCAGAATGGCGTCGAATAGCCAGTCCATAGTACACAGTGAGCTTGTCAATAAATTTTCCCGTCAGCTTTCCTTTACCACCAAGCATTTTGTTTTTTTTTTACTAAATTACGAAGGCGGGATCCCATACGCTTTTGGACGTGTCCGATGCATTCTTTTTTTATAACTTCTACGTCGTCATAAGGATGAGAATTTATCAGCCCAGTGTACGTCTTCGAATCTCCGTCTCCAATATAGTAAAGGTATAGGACATTATATTTTGCTATTGAACGCTTGAAGATTTCGATAATAGAGTCCACCTCCATTTTTCCCGAGGAGCCTTCGTGATTTGAATTGCAGTTATCTTTGTGTGTTTCGTACCATTCTTCATATTCCGCATCACTTAGTTTATGTTTCCACGATTCACACATTTTACAATACGCACTTTTTACTACAAGATCAAGTACTTTTCCACTGTAGTAGCCTACGATTGATGTAACTCCGAACAACGACGTATATCCTCGCTTCCTCCAGGATCCATCTCCGGAAACTGTTAATTTAGAAGTTGCATCGCCTGCTGCATTAGGTGTGTTTTCAATTTCTTAGCGTACGGCTTTTTTAAATATTACTTCTGCACAAGTTTTGACAGACTCATAAATACTTTTTAAAAGTATTGAATACGTAGTCTCGGTAAGAAACCTCGGCATGTCCATAAGTCCGCAAAATTTTTGTGCTCCAGCTAATCCTATGCCGAGAACTCGCATAGTGAATATAAATCGACGATTTATTTCATACGAATGTGCCACAAAAGGAGAAGATGGTATCAAATTATCTGCACAAGAGTCACATTTCACAACGACTTTGAAGCCTAGTCCTCTTGTACTTGCAGTTTCAAATTTAATATTTCCATTACACGTTTTGCACTTCACTAAACTTGAAATAGCACCAAACACAGCACTAAAGTTTAAAATGCGATATTCAATATTAGGATCCTGATTCACAGTCATATCAATATTATTTTTCAGTTTCTTTGCAGACGTGCTGAAACTT